GGTCTGTATAACATAATTCAGAAAAAGCATATTCCGAAAAAGTTAGTTTTTTTAGAACTTTGACCTCTCATATTTCCAAACTAAATGTCACCTCAAGTTGAAACTTTTTTTCCATTAATATCTTACCATAAGGAAGTGATTTGCATACGATTCGATCCCGAAATCGAGGGCCGCAAGCCATGCGATTTTTAGTCACTCTTTACTGGCATCTTTAGCTTTATAGAAAAGTCTCCTCAAACTTCTACAGTTAATGTAGACAATAATATAATCTTAATTTGTCATCAACGACGTAACATCATATACGAGATCCGATTTCGGCGATGTAATGATAAAAGGCAAGACCAGCCAGAGGAACTGTTACCTTCCTACAACTTTTAATAAAATTTATATGGTATTTCGTTATTACATTAGAAATTGATACGTTTATTAGCACCTCTAAGATTAATTAAAAAGGAGCAAACACAACGTTTTAAAAGTTCCAAGATTAGAAAGCTTGGATACACTACCGTACTGGTCCCAGACAGCACATGATATTGTACGAATATTCTATACTCATACTATGAATGTACGTACCGTACATAATATGCTGAGAATATCCCTATAATATCTCCTGTAGTATATCAATTTTCGTATATTTTTAGGATGTTTTCAGAACATCTTTTACAGTATATTATTTCTTGTATATGTATCGTATATTATCAGAATATATTGTTATGTATATTCTCAAAATATACTTTTATATATGTTCTTAGAACACACTGGTGACATCCCAAAAATATACGAAAACTGATATACTACAGGAGATATTATAGGGATATTCTCAGTATATTATGTACAGTACGTACATTCATAGTATGAGCAGAGATAAGCCTGAGAGCGGCCACGCCGTAGGGTTTACTTGGGACCGATTTTCGCCATCAAAAGTAGATGTAAGAACCAGGGGGTGGACACTTATATGTAAGAACTTGGACCTCGGTGTAGTTCCACCAAATGCTACATAAACTAGATGGCGCCAATGTCAACACGAATGTGGGGATGGTGGGGATTATCACCGCCATCTTTCCCTAACCAAACGTGTGGGTCGGCGTGGACGAGAGGAGACGCGGTTTTTCCGGCGACGTAATCCAACGTAATCTATCCGAAGGTACAGTATGCTATCATTACGAATACTGCGTTGTGACGCGATCACCTACTTTAGCAATCGGGATTCATTGTAATAGTTTTGTGCCTTGCAGCTTTGAGAAATCCATCTCGCCCGACCGGCAATCCAGCGAGCGCGGACAGTGCCGAGAACAGATCGGCGGACGAGAGTAACGACGACGACGTGCTGCATCTCCTTCGGAGGAACAATCGAGATTCTACTGCGATACCTTATTCTATAAAAAAATTGTAAGGACATACAACTCTGCTTTATCGGACAACGTGTGGGTCGGCGTGGACGAGATTGAACGCGAAAGTCAACGAACTCTCCGAGCATATGTGGGAGAAGACTGTTAAGATATTGACGAAGTAAGTACGGAATTTTATCAAGTACAGCACGGCTATCTGTATAAAAAAAATATACGAGTGACATAACGTAACTCTTTATGAAAGAGTTCGGTGTATTAAGAAATTTTATTACGCAATTTCTGTCGAGATTATTGCGTCAACTGAGTTACAACATCAAAGATTACATCATGTGTACGATGAATAAAAGGTCGCTTTATTTGCCTGATTTTTGTTCTATGATAATTTTCTTGTATCATCCGTTCTCTCTTTTTACAGCGACATTTCACGCGGAAAGGAAACGAATCCTATACAGTGTGTCAACGGATACGATTCTGAGGACAAGCCGACGGACTTTCTTTATGTAACGGAGAATTGTTTCACGAGCAACATCAATGTGGACCACACAGTTGTCATAAGCTAATAAGTATCATATATTTTGTTTTTAGTCTGAATTTTTGTTTCAGCAAAGCTTTAATTTTTATTTATTAAAAATATGGTATTGTACTTTACATGATAAAACTGTTAAGTATCAAATAATAATTAACAAAACTTCTAAATTTTTGTGAATCTTTACAATTAGGTACCGTAAAAGCCCCTAACTTTGTGACAGGGTCCTAACTATGTGACACTCAAGGTTTTGGCCAAACAGAGCTCTCTCGTGGTTCTGGATTAATCTTAAAGTTCGAAAAACGGTGTCGCTACCTCCAGGCATTTTTTCGAACTTTAAGATTAATCCAGAACCACGAGAGAGCTCTGTTTGGCCAAAACCCTGAGTGTCACATAGTTAGGATCCTGTCACAAAGTTAGAGAATTTTACGGTAAAAAGCTAATAAGTAGGTATCATTTTGTTTTTAGTCTGAATTTTTGTTTCAGCAAAGTTTTAATTTTTATTTATTAAAAATATGGTATTGTACTTTACAGTTTTTATTTGATACCAAACACAGAGATTAAGTTTGAAAAATTATATAAAAACATTGAATTATATAAAATAACAAAATAAACAGTTTATATAATATACATTTTATATAACCTGAAATAAAATACATTTTATGTAATATAAAATAAAATAAACATTGAATTATATAAAAACATTGAATGAAGAATCTACTTTTTATCTTACACCTATCCCATACAGCACAGGTAAATTTTGAGTATATACGCAGTATATCGCAAACGTAGATTGTGTATATCCCATTAATATTCGAAATACGTACCACGATATTTTGAGAATGTACGGAGGATGTTTCTATGATATACCAAGAAATATTCTCAGTACATACTGAGTAGGCTTCTAGGGCAGACATAGGAACATCCTCCGTACATTCTCAAAATATCCTGGTACGTATTTCGAATATTACTGGGATATACACAATCTACGTTTGCGATATACTGCGTATATACTCAGAATCTACCTGTGCTGTATGGGGTGAGCATGTAACGAGCACATATTTATTGTTTCCCTTTTAATCAGTGCATAATGAACACGTCATTTTTTAAGAATTAGCAAAAATATGACTATAAAACATATATTTTGTCAAAAGTCATCAAAACATACTAGATTTTATTGCCGGTCCTGCTTTTTGACATTACATCGCGGAAATCGGATATCGTACGTGACAATGATAAATTTGACGATTTAATCTACATGTTATTTCAAATAACAGACAAATGTTTATTAAGACTTACCAAAATAGCTATAATAAATACTTTCCGTGTCACCCAAGACACACAATCCTACGACAAAATTGAAACGGTCACGCATGAAATGATAACACAATACATGCAATCTATGATGACTTACCACAATACCTATTTCAATTTCCGTGTCACAAAATATCGCAACGAACTCGAAACGGCCACCCATGAAATGGAAACACAAACCATAACCAATTTTTACATTGACAACGACCACTGATTACAGCTGTCATGAAAGATCACAGTCGATTATGCACCACCAACATTATCGACCTTGTTAATCCCTAGAGATAATGTAGTTTTATCGACCATGTAAATCTCTACATAATTACACAGTTGGTGTCGCTACATACGTGATTTATTATATATTCTTACGACATTGAACAATTAAAAAGTAATGTCTTAAAGGATTGAACGTTATTTCTACTATAGTAGTAGATATCAAGAGACACGTACATTTATTGACCAATCACAGTCTGAAGTGACGAGAAGAATAATCGCTTGTGATTGGTCAATTTCTTACGACCTAAGGTTACTACATCTATTATAGACCCGGGCTAAAAGCTGTACACTCATTGGACATCGCACGGCGCGCGAGTCTCACGTGGCGCGTCGCGTCGCGTGTGGCACTGATAATATTATGTTACCTCGGGACAAAAGACGAAATGGTCAAACAGAGATGGACCCTGAGATGAACGACACGTAAGTACAACAAATACGAGTATATGTATATTTTTCTAATGCATGACGGCTAATGATTGCCAATTGCGATTTATTGCGAAAAATATTACCTCAGCCAGGGTGTGAACCATTTTTCGTAATCAATTACTGGCAAAATAATTATTTATATTCTTTCCGATTCCAGAAACCTCGACCGTGCATTGTTAAATGCTGTAGAGGACGTGGAAATGCTGAATTTACAACAACAAAGTGTAAATTCAGCATCTGCACAGTAACTCCTGCCGTCGCTGCCGCCACCGCCGCCGCCTCCGCTACCGCCGACAAAGACGGCGAATCTGCAGCCGCCGCCGCCGCCGCCGACGACGACGACGACGACAACGGCGACGACGCCGCAGCCGCTTCCGCAGCAGCCACCGCTAACGCTGCCGCCGCCGCTGCAGCAGCCGCCGCCGCCGACATCGTCGCGAGAAGTATTCTCAAAACGTAAGTATAAATAATCAATATGAGTATAATTTATTTATTATGTTTTATATACAGGCTCACATAATACAGTTTATTTTATATTTTTCAGCTCGATGGCAGAAAGGCGGAAGGAGCAGAGGGGGCAGAGGGGAAGGCCGAGGATGGGGACGAGGACGAGGACGAGAACGCGGACGCGGACGCGGACGCGGACGTGGCCAAGGTCCAGGCTACTGGACGGGAAACATTAACTTTTATTGTTAATAAATAATTGTATTGGAAAAATAAAAAAAATGTAATAAATGAAAATTACACTGATTTCGACCCGGTCAAGGTGAGCTAACCCCAGAACTTGGTCCAAGTTCTAGTTCCAGGAAACATGTAGCCAATCAACTTGCAGCTTTTATGGAATAGCTGTACGTTGATTGGCTACAGATTTCTCGAAACTAGAACTTGGACCAAGTTCTAGCATCGTGGACATTGGCCTTTAAGGGGATGCTGGAGTGATTCTGTAATAGAAACGAGGCACATTTCGCGTGTTAGAGTCT